CCTGTCACATTGTCAAAATATCTGTGCCAGCCAGTCGACCCTCCTAGAAATGATAACAACAGATGCCATCAACAAAAGTAGTCATTCGACCGTCCTAAAATGATATAGATGCTTCTGCTCCCTATTCATTCTCTCTCTCTCTCTCTCTCTCTCTCTCTCTCTCTCCTTCATCTCTCTCTCTCTCTCTCTCTCTCTCTCTCCTCTCTCTCTCTCTCTTCTCTCTCTCTCTCTCTCTCTCCTCTCTCTCTCCTCTCTCTCTCTCTCTCTCTCTCTCTCATCTCTCTCTTCTCTCTCTCTCTCTCTTCTCTCTCTCTCTCTCTCTCTCTCCTCTCTCTCTTCTCTCTCTCTCTCTCTCTCTCTCTCTCTCTCCCTCTCCCTCTCCCTCTCTCTCCTCTCCCTCTCCATCCCCCCCTCCCTCTCTCACTCTCTCTCTCTCTCTCTCTCTCTCTCTCTCTCTCTCTCTCTCTCTCTCTCTTCTCCTCTCTCTCTCTCTCTCTCTCTCCTCTCTCTCTCTCCCTCTCCCTCTCCTCTTCTCCTCTCCCTCTCCCTCTCCCTCTCCCTCCCTCCCTCCCCTCTCCCTCTCCCTCTCCCTCTCCCCCCCTCCCTCTCTCCCTCTCCCTCTCCCTCTCCCTCTCCCTCTTCCTCTCCCTCTCCCTCTCCCTCTCTCTTTCCCTCTCACTCTTAACTTATCTTTTTATTTACCAGGACGTGCAATCTGCACACACAGCCGTCAGGATAGTTCAAAGGGTAGTTCGGAGACGACCAGTTGATTATGTACAGAGATCCATTGTTTGGGTAGCTTTCCGGACTCAAGACAATCGTTTTGTTGCAGTAACCGCATGCTGATAAATGGTATGATATGTAAGAGTATAAATTAGATGGCGACTGAATCATGATGAAGATAGGATGATGGATAAGGATGGATATGTAAAACACTGTTCATTAGGACAGACGGAGGGGGAGGGAGGAGAGGAAGAGAGGAGGAGAGGGGAGGGGTGTGGAGGTGGAGGAGTAGGAAGAAGAGGGAAGGAGGGAAGAGGAGGGAAGGGGAGAGGTAGAAGGGTGGAGGTGGAGGAGGAAGGAGAGGGGGGGAGAGGGAGTCGGGGAGGGGGAGGAGATGGGGTCAGAGAGAAAAACTGCATGAAGGGAGACGAGTGTTTTCACAGCCTCGTCCATGTCTTTTCTACAGGTAAGGCGATATAAGTGCTAGAGATCTCATGATAAGTTTCTGCTAGAAGCGTAAAAGTGATGATACTGAATAACTGTTATAGTGATGGTTTGGATGATAAGGAGATATGACCATAATGACAGCTTTATCAGGTATGATGCCATAATAGCACCTGCCATAGCTACAATTATGGATAACATTAACAACAAAAATGTCCATTGCTATAAATACTTCAACAATAGCAATAAAATGAATCAAAATGATCATTAGGAAAAAAAAATAACATTACTTGCACCAACAATATCATCAGTGCTTATATCATCAATACCATTATTAATGTTTTCATCACTATTGTTATTAAAATTTTCATCTGTCATTATCCATCACTGACGCCATATATGACCTAAGAAACTGTCATGTAGACAACCTATGTCATAAATTTTGTAGAGTGGTTGATACTCACGATTTGATGGTTCAGTTGTTGTGGTACTTGTTGTTGATGATGATGTAGATGTAGATGTTGAAGTGGTTGTAGTTGTTGATGTAGTTGTGGTTGTAGATGTGGAGGTGGTTGTAGATGTAGATGTTGACGTACTCGAAGAGGTAGATGTTGAAGTTGTTGTAGTGCTCGTTGAGGTAGTTGTAGATGTAGAAGTTGTACTTGAAGATGTCGAAGTAGTTGTGGATGTAGATGTCGAAGTAGTAGATGTAGAAGATGTCGAAGTGGTTGTAGATGTAGAAGATGAAGTAGTTGTAGATGTAGATGTCGAAGTGGTTGTAGATGTAGAAGATGAAGTAGTTGTAGATGTAGAAGATGAAGTAGTTGTAGATGTAGATGTCGAAGTGGTTGTAGATGTAGAAGATGAAGTAGTTGTAGATGTAGATGTCGAAGTAGTAGTTGATGTAGATGTCGAAGTAGATGTAGATGTAGAAGATGAAGTAGTTGTAGATGTAGATGTCGAAGTGGTTGTAGATGTAGATGTCGAAGTAGTAGTTGATGCAGAAGATGTCGATGATGTAGAGGTTGGCGTAGTCGTCGATGCTGTAGGCGATGTTGAGGTAGTTGTCGATGAAGTTGTTCTCGCTGCCGTAGTTGTAATTTTGGTTGTAGTTGTAATAGTTGTTGTAGAAATAGGTGTGCTGGTGGCGGTTGGTCGAAGCGTAGTAGTTGTAGTCGCCTGCGGCACTTTGCAGTAGCAGCGTCGACCTTCCAGGAACCGCGTCTGGATCACGAAACCTGGAGCTGCGGGGGGGGGGGGGACAAGGCGCGTTGTAGTGTGGTGCTCGTTGAGGTAGTTGTAGATGTAGATGACAGATGGCAGAAGGCGCTCGCGTGCTCCCTGCTCATGGGAGTATTGCATACGCACACACGGGTGTGTATATATATATATATATATATATAAATATATATATATATATATATATATATATATAATATATATATATATATATATATATATATATATATATATATTATATATATACATATATATTAAAATAGAGAGAGAGAGACAGAGAGAGAGAGAGAGAGAAGAGAGAGAGAGAGAGAGAGAAATAGATAGATAGATATAGATTTGTGTATACATATATCTATAGATATAAATATATTTACACATATTAAAGCATATATATATATATATATATATATATAATATATATATATATATATATATATGTATATATATATAGACAGATATATAGATAGATAGATAGATAGATAGACAGATAGATAGATAGATAGATAGATAGATAGATAGATAGATAGATAGATAGATAGATAGATAGATAGATAGATATAGATTTAATGATAAAAGTGAAAAATGATGATGACAATAATAATAACAATCATAACAGTAATAATAATAAAAATACCACTAATGATAATGATGACGATGATGACAACGATACTGACAGTAACAGGAAAAATTATAATATAAAAAATAATGAGAATAATAACATTGTGTTAATGATGATAATGATAATGATGATAGTAACAATGATAGTAATACCAATAATAATAAGAACATTAATCATCATTATTATCATCATAATAAAGAAAATAAAATTATTATCAATAACAATGATAATGATACTGATATAATGATAGTAATGAAAATAGAAATAACAATGATAATAATAATGATAACAATTATAATGAAAAAAAAATGTTAGACAAGAAATATCCTCCAAATGCAATATCTTTCAAAAGTGCAGATGGATATTACTAACCAGATCTTTGCTCCATACATCATAGCGCTCTGCAAAGGTGAGTGATTCCACAGTGAAGACGCCAGACAGCGCCCACACCAAGACGAGCCATGATGCTGAGACCTGGGGGTACATGCTGGGAGTGAAGCCTTTATGATGCTGAGACCTGGGGGTACATGCTGGGAGTGAAGCCTTTATGATGCTGAGACCTGGGGGTACATGCAGGTAGTGAAGCACTTATGATGCTGAGATCTGGAGATAAATGCTGGTATTGAATCATATATGATGCTGAAATCTAGGGATGAATGCTGGCAGTGAAGCCTTTATGATGCTGAGACCTGGGGGTACATGCAGGTAGTGAAGCACTTATGATGCTGAGACCTGGGGGTACATGCTGGGAGCTTATGATGCTGAGATCTGGGGGAGTGAATGCCGGTGGTAAATAATTTACATGTATATTAGACCTGTATACGTAGAATGGCGGGCAATAAAGTCCTCAAAGGAATCGGAGCTTCGAATCTGTCTTACCCTATTCGAAAAGGGGGGGAAGGCTAGATCAGTAGCAACTCGAAGAGGTGCCATGGCGTCTGTTTTGATGAGTGTTCAATGAAAATATAACCATTGAAATAATTATTTTCCATTCTTTTTTGAAAATTGAAAAGACCAAAAATGATCGACCATATTCACAAAGCATCCTCAAACTTTTGTGACATCAAAATAAACCCCATGTGCTTAAAAAGAATTTAAAAAATGGCGCCATGACACCTGCACGAGTTGAGTGTGGTACGACGCGGAGGTTCGACAAGGAATTCGAAAAAAAGGTTCAGCGTGAGTTCTGACCGCGACTGTACGTACAGTATACAGCACCGTGTATCTCCATCTATTTTCGGTTTTATCTGTCGTTTCATTTGCTATTTCTCTACCTATCCAGCTGCCTGCCTGTCTATAAATCATGATATTTTTTTCATCTATGTATCCGCTGATCTCTTCATCTTTCTGACCACAAACACAGGTCAGGTCAGGTCAAAGGTCAGTCTAATCGAAGGGTGGCCGGCACGAGAAAGTGGAAAGCGAGGAGACCGACCGCAGGGGATAAATCGTATATATATATATAATATATATATATATATATATATATATATATATATATATATATATATATATATATATATATATATATATAGATGGGCAAATCCTACTGTCACTTCCGCGTGGTGCTCACCGGGTAATGCTAACGACAGGGGTCCCCGCCAGCACGACATAGGCCAGCGCAGCGGGGAAATGGCCTAAAGCTTCCCAATGAACGAACATTCTAGAAATGCGGCCGTTCCTGCTGGGTCATCGGATTTAAATACAGGCTCAGCCATGCCACTTCCGGGTAGGAGTGGTGGGCGCCAAAAGCTACTGCCCAAAGACAACAAAGAACGCACTATAAAGCATCTATACGTTACTACCTATAATGTTAGAACCCTTTCAGAGGATATTCACATTACCAATCTCGAAGAGGAAATTCAAAACATCAAGTGGGACTTTATAGGAAAATGTGAAATGAGAAGATTAGGAGAAGGTCTACTGGAGCTGAAAAGCGGTCAGCTCTTTTACCACAAAGGGAAAGAAGAATACA